CAACAGGGCATCGACACAGTTATGCCTCCCAATAGCATCACTGTCCCCTGGTCCCAGAACCTCTGCATGAAGACCAGGAGGGAGCAGCACAGGAAGAAAAGGGGGTTTGCTCCAGGGGGCTCCTTGTCCAGTGCTCCTTGCTCCTGGACACGCTGCCTTGGTTAAGTCCAACCATACCAAGGTCTATATGAATCAATTTGCCTAATGTACATAATCCTCCTACTTCGAAATCTGAAGGAGACCCACCCAGCTGCACAGAAGAGTGTGACTCATACATATACATACACCTCCTCAGATCCACACACCCAATGCACACACACACATGCACTTTGACACTGATGCCAGCACCCACATCAACACAAATACACACAGGCATTTTTACAGACATGTGTCCACTTGGAGGTTCTTTTGTGTCTACTCACATATGAATATATACACACCTAGAGGACACAGACACACCCAGATCTAACCATTCTCCCTGAGATGAATGCACACACAGGGGTTCCTAAGCACACTTCCGTGTGCTCCAAATCTGCAAACATGCCATGTCAAGTAGTCATGGTCCCACTGCTACCTTAAGTGCTACCTAAGGACAGGTTCATATACTAACTCCTCTTCCTGGGTAAGAATATAAACCTTTAAGTCAATGCACGTCTATTGTGCTCTTCCTGTTTGATGCGGAAGATTCATGGGTGAAGAAAATCAGTTTATCTTTGCCTTTTCTGAGTCTGTGTATAACGGGAGATACACATTTTTTTCAAATGCATGCAAAATTGCACCTGTGGTAGGTGCAAATGCAGGAGATGCAGGGTATTTTTTAGGACATCTGACTAATATGGAGAGTTTAGTAAAGGTTCTCCCAAAGAAGTAAGGTATCAGCTGAGAGCTAAAGGGAGGCTAGATAATTTCTAGAAAAAGAGAGAACACACCACTCAGGGAGAAGAGCATGTGCAAATGTCCTGTGCTGAAAGGGAAGCTCTCATGCACAAGAAGGTCTAAGGGGTCAGTGCAGCTGGTGGGCAGAGCGAGAGCACAGCAGGGTGCAGGATGAAGCTGTTGAAGGAGGCAGGCGCCACACGTGAAGGACCTTTGAGGCCCCATTAAGGTCTTTATATTAAAAGCATTTAGAAGCCATTAATATGTTCACAGCAGAGATCAGGTTTGTATTTTGAGACCATCTCCGAAGGTATGCCTACTCATACAAAAGCATTCTCCTGTAGATCGGTGCACACACATGAGTTCATAGGTACACTTGTGTGTTTCTTAGAAGTGCATATTTACATATAAGTATTCACTTGCAAACGCTGCCTCGGTGAACACACCCGTCTGTATTTATACACATGCTATCTATAAACCCAGTGGGCGTTGGGAGGCAGGCAGACACCCTCCTCCCAGGATACCATCAGGTACCCTGGGAGGGACTAGGGAAGCGGTGCATCAGAGCCGAGCCCTCTGACTTTGGAGCTTTGGGCTTTGCAACTTGGCCTCCTGCGTGTGCCTCCAGCTCTGTTTCCCCTCGTCTTGGTTCAGAGCACCCAGTGACAAGGTGGGGTTTCTTCCAGAACATGATCATTGACTATTCTTGGCCTAGGCAAGGCAGGGAGGATGGGCAGGTCGGGTTGCATAAAGATTGCCTTGTGCCTTCCCCGAGTTGTAAGCAGAACCTCTGCCCAGCTCGAAGCCCAGGGTGCTCTTTGCAGAGAGTTGGCAACACTGAGAAGTAAACAGAAGGATGGGGAATCAGAGGTCTGCAGGTCTTGGTGGGGACTGTGTGGAACTGGAAGTCTTACGTTCCGTGAGTGACCCCTGCGGGCAATGTGACACTGTGGGAAGAAGCAGACAGAGCCTGGCAGGAAAGCCCTCCTGAGGCACGATGTCTGACTGTCCCTCTCTGCCTTGGCAGAGCAAACTCATGTACACACATATTTACACATTCACGAGTTTCCAGTGGTTATAGCATCTCACAGTAGAGGAAGTAGCAAGTAATTTATCAGCCTCAACACCTTGCATTATCCTCCCTCCAATGAATTAGAACTATGCTTGTGTACATTTGGTTCCTGTTTACCAGCAAAGCTAGCAAGGCCTTGGCCAAAGCCAGCAACAGGCTCCAGGGAGATCGATAGGAACATTCAGGCCGGATTGAAGGCTCACCCACAACCTCGCATCACAGGGCCATACAGATGTTCCCAAGTGAATTTTTCATAGTCTGAAGACTCCTACCCACTGAGAGCGCATGTTTGCAAATGCATGCTTGGCAAATGTTTTCTTCCATAATTGAAAGGAATTATATAATGTAATTTGAAGCTCTTTTTCTTTTGCTTCAGGCTGTGTGTAAGGAACACCCTTCTTTTCTCCCAGTTGGGTGCTATTTTGGCAACAGTATACCAGGTCCATCAAGTGCTAGAGGCCAGAGCACTGTGTTCAAGGGACACTGTGTTGTCACTGTCCCTCGTATTGATCTAGCACTTAGCAGTTTACAGAGGTCTTATCTAATCCTCACAACTCTGAGGTCAGCCCAGTTGTTCCCATTTCACAGACAAAAAGACTGAGGTTAAAAGACTTGCCCAAGGGCATGGAGCTAACACATGGCAGCGTTGGGACTTGAACTTAGGTCTTCATACTTGTCCTCAGGAAACAACACAAGTTTGACTACACTCTGCTAACCTCCTGGGATCCGGGGCTCCTCTCACTACCCTTTTCTGCTTTCTACTGCATCTTATAAGTAAATTCCAGATTGGCACCGCCCAGCACTGAAGCTGCAGCTGCCCAGCTGCAGATAAATAATTGCCTGCTCCAGGGACAGTCCCCAGGAGGCTTTCAATATTGACAAGCCCCAAGCATGAGTGAGTCCATGCTAGGAGTGGCCAGGCTCCAGTTCCATGAGCTTTGTCTGAGAGCAAAAGCTCCAAGCCTTTCTGGTTCCATATGCCAGACACCAGAAGCCCCTTCACCGAGCAGAACTGTGGAATGTGTGCCCGCTTCTTGTACCTGCCCCACTACTGAGGCCGCCCTTATTCCCTTTGCCCAGTTCCTCTAGGACCAGCATCTTTCCGTGGGTAGACCCAGTGTGATCTGCCCCAATCCCACACCCACTGGGTGCAGGCCAGGCTGCTCGGAAGGGCCAAGTTCCACACCTCGATAAAACCTGCGGGCTCCGAGAAGTATTTCAGCTTCTGGAAAACAGCTTGTGTTCAGTTGAAATGTTTTATTTTGGTCATAGCAATTAGATGTTCTTGTTTTGCACACACGACTTCCAGTGGAATTGGCTTCGGCACAGGTGAACAGGATGTAATAGGTCTGGGAAATCTTGGGGTAGATGACAAATCCCAACCATGAGGAGGGCTCCCACTGGCGATTTCCTTTTTTCAGAGCATCAGCTTACCTGGTTTGCTTCCATGTCTGAAGTGTGACTAGTTCATTAATTCATTAAACGATCTTTGAACACTTACATATGCCAGGACCTGTGCTAGCTACCAGGCGTACCACCATGACCAAGCTAAACATGGTTGGTCCCGATTTTTTAGTTTCTTACAGTCCAGTGGAGAAGACAGACAATGAAAGGGGTTTATAGCCCTGGCCGGTTTGGCTCAGCGGTTAGAGCGTCGGCCTGCGGTCCTGAGAGACCCGGGTTCGGTTCCCGCTAAGGGCACGTACCTTGGTTGCAGTTTGTCCCCGGCCCTGGTCGGTTGTGCGGGTGGCAACCACTCGATGTGTTCCTTCACATCGATGTTTCTCTCTCTCTGTTCCTCTCTCTCCCTCCCGCTCTACCTGAACAAAGGGTGGAAAAATGTCCTTGGGTGAGGATTAAAAAAAAGAAAAAAAAAAAAGAAAGGGGTTTATAAATGGTATTTGGGTCAAGCTCCCTGATATTAACACCAGAGAAATGTAAATATACTTATGAACTAGGGTGAGGGATAAAAAAATTGGCTGCTGGATTTAGCCAGTGGACTCAGAAAGCTATCAACCTCAGACTGGCCACTAACCATTCATACAAATATTACTGTTGTCCTTTATAAAAATGTGACTGGGAAAAATGGAATTGATGGTGGTTCCCGAGCTTAGCAATTGTCTCAGTCTTGGTCCACCCTTGGGATGCTGTGTCCATCTCTGAGGGCCACATTTTTCAATGGAAGAAAGGCATTTGGGGCCCTTCTAGGCTGGCCAGATTTAGGGAATAAAAATACAGGGAATCTGCCCTGGCTGGTTTGGCTCAGCAGTTGGAACATCGGCCTGAAGACAGAGGGTATCAGTTCAATTCATCAAGGGCACAAACTTCGGTTGCCGTTTGGTCCCCAGCCCTGGTCAGGGTCACGTGGGAGGTAACCAGTTGATGTGTCTCTCTCACCTCGATATTTCTCTCTCTCTCCCCCATCCATTCTATCTAAAGATAAATGGAAAAATATCCTCCGGTGAGGATTCAGAAAACAAACAAACAGGGCACTCAGTTAAATTTGAATTTCAGATAAGCAATGAATTCTTTTCTCACATCAGTATGTTCCAAATATTCCATGGAAGATACTTATACCAAAAAAGAAGAAAATGATCGTTTAGCTGAAATTCACATTTCAATGGGCATCCTGTATTTTAATCCGATGGCTCCACTAGAGAACAGGAGCTAAGATTCTGAGAAAACCCAACACTGTGTCTCAAAATGAATAATTGAAGGAGCCTGGCTTTTTAGCTTGGAGACAATGATAGAAAGAACCTAGATTCTTGTAGGGAAGCATTTTCCAAACAGTGTTTCTAATGGTGTATAATAGAAAAATAGAAAAAAAGTCCATTGGGAGAAGAAAAATTGGTTTGAGCTCAAAAGTGTGGGAGGTCAAAAGTTTGGGAAATAGTGCACACCCTGTGTTTTCTGTGTTGGAGTTCACACTCTGCAGCAGCAGTAACCGTTCAGAACGGTCTTACAGAAAACATACCTGGTTGACCTGGTTTACCCGGCCCCCAGAATGCTATTTATAGACTCCTGTCTGTTTGTTTTGATGTGTTTGTTTTAGAGAGGATGCCTATTAACAGTGCGCAAACTTCCTCCTCTGCTCAGCACACTGGGCTGATATAAAAAGTGAAAGTTGTCTTCAGATGATCCAGACTGCTGCTGGGAGGAAGCCCATTGCGTTTTTGCAAACCACAGGGCAGACCTAGACCCAATGTATGGACGCGGCTGGGAGACGGATGAAGACCAGAACTTTCTAAAAATTACAATAGTCTGAAAGGTAATCAGCTTCCTGTTCCTGGAGACATTAAAGCAGAAACAAATTGCCACCAGGGACACTAGAGGAAATTCTTGTTCTGTGTAGGAAGTTCTCAGGCTCTGTTCAGCAAGGTGTGTACACAGAAAACACAGAGGGGGCGTCCACCGGCAAACTTTCTTTAGAACGATGTCCCACGTTCTGTATTCTTCTGTAGTCTGAGTAAATCCCTTTGGGATTCACTCCTCCTGTGTTCCCTTCACATCTATGGTCCAAACCCCTCAAGATCAGTGCTTATAAATTAATTATCTTTGCTCTCTTCTGGGCCTCTTCATAGCCTAGTCTAGCCCGGTGGGGCTTGGCTGCCAGGAAGCCCACCCTGAGCCTCTAGGAGGGGCTTATAAGCCTCAGATGGAACAGGGAGCTCACAGCTGAGTTTAGCAGCTCAAAAGAGGGTGGGGTTCTGAGAAACCTGGCCCGGTCCTCCTCTAGGACTGTGAGACCGCCCCACGCTGTGTCCACAGTGTAGTCCAGAGCATCACATATCCGAGGCGCTTGGCATAACAGAAGTCAACAGCCCAGATCTCAACTCTGCCCCCTTCCTGAGTCTATGACCTGGACCAATTCCTGTAGTTCTCCGTGTGTGGGGCGGAGGGGAAGGAGGGGACAGAAATGACAACACTGCCTCTAGTAGTATGAAAATTAAAAGATTAAAAATCCATAAAAGACCCAGCAGAGTGGACATTCAGTAAATGCTTATTTAACGGATGATTGTGACCATGATGACCAAGAAGTTAAAGCGCTTCTTTAGAAATTCACTAATCAGCCCTGGCCGGTTTGGCTCAGCGGTTGGAGCAACGACCTGCGGACCAGAGAGTCCCGGATTTGGTTCCTGCTAGGGGCACGTACCAATAAATAAATAAATAAATAAATAAATAAATAAATAAATAAATAAATAAAGTCACTGTTTAAAAAAAGAAAAGAAATTCACTAATCAGTGCACCAAGATGTCAGCACAGCAATGAGCTGGAGATTGCCCAGCTTTCTACCACCTTCCTTGCGAGAACCTGTGCTTGAGAACAGAAAGCAAGGCTACAGAATTTTTAGAAAGTTCTGCACGTTACAGAGCACTGCTTTCCTTCCCGCGGTCCAGGGAGAGCGCAGGCCCTGCACGGCCCGGTCCTCCGTCTCAGTGACTGAGGCCCATCCGTTCTGGACCCCGGCCCTCATCCGAAAGATAACGGGGTGGGCCTAGAGTGTTTCTAGGACCATGAGCTGTGCCTTTGAACTGAGGTAGTGAATATAGATATTTAAGTAATATTAATGGTCCACAGTACTTAATGGGAAAAAAAAAAAAAAAAAAAAGACCTCGCCAAACTAAAGCAGCGTGTGTGCGCGCGGATGCACACGGCAACACACAGTGTACGCAAGGTGCTTTGAAATCACTTTAATTGCCTCCTGCCATTGTGCTGTCTGTCGGTTTGGCAAATAAAGAGTTCGACCCTGAAATAGCTGTGAAGGAGATGAGCCCTGACCTCAGAACAGGGGGGATCTGGGTCTGAGTCCCAGCCCTGACTCTGCAGGTGTGTCTCGTTCTCTATCTTTGGGGTGCGACACTGTCTCTCCCCCTCATTCACATGAGAGGTTGGCCCCAGGACCTGCAAGCTCTGTGTCTCTTGGGAAAGTGTCTCTGATCTGTTTTCGCTTGGATGTGCATGCTCTCCACGAGGATTAGCATCTGGCTGACTCAGATCGTGCTTATTCCTTTTGTTTGATCCGCTCTGCTTTCATAACACGAGCTCTACAGCCAATTTTAGCCCTTCTTGGATTATGGGAGTGTCAAAATGAAGGCATCGGAGCATTTGTCACGGTTGCTGCCGGGGATGCTGACCTCCCCCTTCCCCACCCCACCCGCCTGGGCGCTCCCTTCCATCTGGCACAGGCAAAACCCCTCCCCCTCTGTGGATGACACGCTAAGTGGAGTCTGGTTTTCACATTAGCTGAGAGGAGGCCCTGAAGTCAGAAATCCTTGGCACATGAGTCACTGGTCTCTTTGTACCTTATTTCCCCCAACTATAAATAGGCGGAGTCTGGCCCTCTCAGTCTCCCCGAGTTTGTAGCCCAGCAGGGGTGCCCTTGTGCAGATCGGTCCTTTCCTGCCCGCAGGTCTCTTGCACAGGTAGCTCTACTGAAAAATCACAGCCCGGGGGGTCACTTTCTGTCTCTCTGCTCCCCCCACCCGGCCCCCTCCAGACGCCCTTCATCACTGCCCGCGTGAACTTGCTAACATGCAGAAGTCAGCTTTGCAGGAAAGCCTTCCGTGGCTCCTGTTGCCTCCAGGACAAAGGCCCAGCAGGTGAGTTCACAGGACACGCAGAGGAGCCTTTCCTTGGGAACCGGTGACGCTCCCCGCAGACACCAGCTCGCCCTGTGTCCCGTCACCGGACCTTCGGAGTGCAAGGGGATGTGTGGGGAATAAATAGAGAAAGAAGGCTTGGCCCTGTGCTTAAGAAGCTTATACACTTTTGGGGGGAAAAAGGTTAACAAGTACACAAAAATAATGTTTTTGAGTACCAAAAGTACTCTTAGAAATCATTGACCTCTCCCGACTGTCTCTCATTTTATGGTAGTGGAAACTGATGTCACAGAACTGGCAAATTATAAAAAAACAAAACAAAAAACATGTCTCATAAGAGGTCTCCCCACTTCTCCTCTGCCTCCACGACGCTGCCGTCTGAGCAGCGTGTCACCTTGTCACTCCTCATGTGAGCTTTCTGTGGCCCCGCTGACCTACAATAAAAGCCAAATTTCTTCCCAGACCTGGGGCACTCATTGTGCTCAGATCCATGAACCTGGCCATTCCTTCTGATGGGAATGTTACTCTGCCAGATCTTCAGGCTTCTCTGCGTCATTCAGTCTCAGGGCTCATGGCCCCTCCTCAGGGTTGCATGGCCCCACTCACTCCCTTCCCCTCGCCCTGAGTGGATGTGTTCACAGCACATGACACCATCCATGTCATTTTGTTTGTTTGCTGATTCTTCTTCATTATCTGGGTCAACTCACTCGAGGCTAAGGTGCAGGAGTGCTGAGATGTGCCTCTGTCACTAGCATCTACAACATAGTTGGCTCATAGTTGACACAAGATATTTGCTGAATGACTAAACAAAGAAATGAATACATATTGGTGGAAATTGGAAAACACAGACTAGTATAAAGAAGCAAATAAAAATCATTCATACATCCTCCTGGATATTTGTTCTGCTCATATTTCGGACTATTTCCTTTTTTTAAAGGTCATTTTTTATGTATATGTATGATATATAATGTGTATTTAATAAAAATTAAGATTATGTTAAATTATAGTTTGTATCCCATTTTTTTCACTTATTATATTGTATCTCCTGTGAAATTATCTTTTAAAATACTATTTTAAGTGCTGCATAAATTTTCATATGAATGTAATAAAACTAATTTAAGTGTTTCCCTATTGTGGAACACTGATAACTTAACTTTTCTTTCTAATTGATCTACTCTCTGTTCAAACCATTCTAGTAAAATTTGGTTTTTAAGATACTTCTGATAACTGTTTCCCACTGTGAGTAGTTGGGTAAAAATTATTACTTTCTTTCCCGGAAATGTCAACAGACCAATCTTTAGTTTTGTATATTTTTTGTGGCCTCTCTCAGGGGGAATCGACCTAGTTGATGATCTAGTTATCAAGTCAAAGATACGTGGTCAGTAAAGGGTTGTGTTTCTAAGACTTCCTGTGTGTGTGTGTGTGTGTGTGTGTGTGTGTGTGGTTTTTTTTAAAAAAAAATTTTATTGATTTTAGAGATAGAGGAGGGAGAGAAAGAGAGAAATGGAAACATTGATGAGAGAGAACATCTACTGGTTGCCTCCTGCATGCCCCTCACTGGGGATAGAGCCCACAACCTGGACATGTGCCCTGACCAGGAATCGAACTGGCGACCTCTTGGTGCATGGGTTGATGGTCAACCACTGAGCAACACCAGCTGAGCTCTAAGACTTCCTGTTTGAAAGATAAACCAATTTGCATGTTTGTAACTGAATGAAGAGAGTGGGGAATGAAGGCGGGTCCTGATGACCTCTACTGCAGACTGTTAGCCCAGGGATGTTTTCCGGTTGAAATTAATTAACACTCAGGCACAGAAGACGCAAGAGTTCCCAAATATTCGTAGACATAAAATCTTTGCGAACAAAAAGAACATGAAAGATAACAAACTTCCTCACTTTGTGAGAAAAAAGGAAACAGACTCAGAGAGAGGCAAGCTCTTGGCCAGGGTCTCATAGCAAAAAGGTTGGAGCCTCTCCACCTCGCTCCCCTCTCCCTGCCTTCCTCTGTCCCATTCTTCCTCCTTTCGATATTAGTCTTTTGTGAACCAGACTTCGGAAAAGATTTCGCAGAGCTGGAAGAGATCTCAGAGGTGAACTCCTCCAACCTCTTCATTTCTGAAGATGAGGAAATGGAAGTCCAGACGAGGGAAGGGCGTTGTATCAGGTCACCACACTACCAGCTTGCGGCTGAGACGAGAACCACTTCCTCTTCCTTCCCATCCGTCTGCCCCAGCTTCCTGGGCCCTATAAAATCCACCCTTAGTAGCTTCTGCCCTCGGGCAGTCCCTCCTTGAGTGCTAAGAAATCATGTTATTCCTTGTAGAGAACCGAGAGATCGGAGCCCCCAGTAAAAGCCAGCCCACAGTTACAGAGTGTGGGCAGTGGGCACGCCCGGCAGTCATGCTGAGGATAAAACAATACCTACCAGGAAACGTCCCTCTGCGGTCACCCCCACCCCGGCAGCTGTGCTCCTGCACAGCATGCAGACCCTTCCTCCTCGCTCTTTCCACGCCACGCACGTGATCTTTGGATTGTCAGTCTCTCCCACTAGACTACAAGCTGCTGAGAACAGACGCCCCTTTTCTGTCCTTGTTTTCTTAGTACCTTAGGCCCTAATCACATAATAGAGGCCTGGTACATAGGAGATGCTCCATGCATATTTGTTGAATGAGTGAATGAAACATCAAGTCTCCATTCATTTGCTCAGGCTGCCATAACAAAACACCACAGACTGGGTGCCTTAAACAATGGATATTTATTTTCTCAAAGCTCTGGAGGCTGGATCCAAGGTCAAGGTGCCGGCAGGGCTGGTTTCCTCTGAGGCTGCCCTCCTTCCACCACCTCACATGGTCTCTCCTCTGTGCACCCACATCCCTGGCACCTCTGTGTCCTCACCTCTTCTCCTGAGAGGGACACTAGTCAGATTAGATGAGGGTCCACCCTAAAGGCCTTGTTTTGATTTAATACCTCTTTAAAGGCCCTAGCTCTGAATACAGCCACATTCTGAGGTCCTGGGGGGTTTAGGCTTCAACGTATGAATTTTGGAGGAACACAGTTCAGTGGATGGCAGTTCCCTACCCTTCACTAGCTCCCAGTTTAATAAAAGGGATATACACGACGGTGGAATGATAAGGCAGTGTAATAACTGTATTATTTGATTTCATCTTTGCCAGGATTAAATGTCAGCAAACAGCCCTGGCCCAATGGCTGTTGGTTGGAATATTGTTTTACACTGAAAGGTTTTGGGTTTGATTCTCAGTCAGGGCACACATCTAGATTGTGGGTTCAGTCTCTGGTTGGGGCACATATAGGAGGCAACCGATCGATGTTTCTCTCTCACATATCCTCAGGTGAGGATTAAAAAAGAAATGTCAGCAAACATTTACTAACGCCTGCCATGTCAATCACTGTGCTAGAGGTTAGATATCCAAAAGTATATCCATTTAGATCACAGTGGAAAGACTCAATAAGAAAATGGACATGTCCGATATACGACCTCAGTCCGTGTTTGTCATGTTTATGGCCCTCGTGCTACTTAGTATTCCCTAGCCACGTAATTTAGTCTATGCCCAAACAGGAAAGTGGAAATTGCTCTGTCTTGCTATATATGAAACTTCATATAGATACTATTATGATCAACACTTTGCAGATGAAGAAACTGAGGCATAGCTAGTAAGTAACTTTCTCCATGTCTAACAACCAGTTATTTGCAGTCCCGGGACTTAAAAACACTCATTCTGGCCTGGCTAGTGTGGCTCAGTGGCTGAGCATCGACCCATGCACCAAGAGGTCACCAGTTCAACTCCCAGACAAGGCACATGCCCCGGTTGTGGGCCCGATCCCCAGTGGGGGGCACACAAGAGGTGGCCAATCAATGTTCTCTCTCATCGATGTCTTTATATATCTCCCTCTCCCTTCCTCTCTTTCTAAAATCAATAAAGAAAAATTATTTAAAAAACACTCACTCTGGGTCCAAAGTTCACTATTTTAACCAGCACTCCACACTGCCTTTCCATGACAAGGAATCTTATTCTTTTTATGCCAACCAGAGAGGGAGTGTGAGACCACTGCAGAAAGGAGGGACACTTAAGCTGAGCCACAGAGTGGGGTAAAGTGAGCAGAACAGAGAATTACAAGCAGAGAAAACAGGACCATAGAGGTCAAGGAGAAGGCTGAGCAGGTGGCATTGAGGGCTGGGGAGTGAGGTGAGACGAGAGAGGTGAGATCAGGTGGGATCTTATTTCATAGAATTAAACTGGGCTTGAATCTCTAGACACTGAGCAGCTATTGAATATTTTAGCAAAAGATCATTTAACCTTACCTCTTCATTTTACCAATGAGGAGGCCGAGCTCCGGGAAGAAATGACTTGCCCAAGGCCACACGGTTGGTGGCAGAGCTGACCCTAGCACCCAGATTTCCCAATCCCAGTCCCAGTTAAACTTTGCTTGCATAAGCATATGAAAACTGACCATTGAAAAGAATGGTTTTTTTTTCCCCCATATTTTCCCCATGTCTTCCATCCAGTTTTCACCTACTCTCTAATTTTAGTAATTGTTCATTTTTCCAAGTTTCAACGAATCAGTATCTTTCTATCTAAAATAACCACTATGGTTCAGAGTCAGAAAGATCATATAGAAATCTCTAAGAATGCAGTTACCTGTGTGGTTTTATAAAATGTGGCTAAATGGCTCATTGCTACATTTGCAAGACTAGAAGGACCTGTAGCTCTTATATCTCATCAACACTCGGTGATGAACTTAGAGATAAATTAAACAGCCACTCTGACCTAGTTTGTTTTACCAAACAAATCTGTTAGGTCATAGTTACTGGTGCCTCTGCATGCCAGGCACCCTGCTGGAGTCTTGAGATCCAACAATGTATCAGCTGGGTTCCCGGGTGGAAAGGCTGTCACCATTTAATAACGAGCAGCACAAAGATGCACACGTACACGAGTCTGTCTCCTGTCGTTTCAGTCTGATCATAGCTCCTCACAGAGATCATTCCCCAGCCGAGGGACGCAGCCTGGGCCCAACGGAGGAAACAGAAACCACCCTAGGTCTTTCAACATAAGAAATGTAATATAAGGAATTGGATGCACAGGCGATAGAAGAACCGAGAAACTAAATGGGACGGTGAGGAACCAGAGATCAGGAACAGCAGGGAGAAGCCACCGGAGGGACACAGGAGACGGTGGTGTTACGAGTTCCTAGAAACCAGGGTATTTGTTTGGCAGGAGATGGAGGCACAGAACACATTAAGCCCATGATGGAGATGCCGCTGGAGACAGAGAGAGAAGACAGAACCTGCTTCTCTCCTCTCCCTTAACTTTCTATCATAGTCCCATCAGGCCAAACTTGCCTTAAAGCAACAGGGCAGGGAGCCAGGAGCATGTTGGTCCCTATGATGCAAATCAGAGCAGGGGGAAATGAGGCCAGGCTCAGAGAACAAACGGGCTGACTGGCACCCTGGTGACCTCAGGAAATCACGGGTCTCTTCGTGTCTTAGCTTCCTCCTTGGTAATTTGAGAAGAATACCTCTCACATTTATTGTGAGACTTACATGAAATAAAATATGTGAAAGCACTTTACAAGCTTCAAAAGGCACGGATACAATGGTAAGGGCTTTTGTTCTTGGTTGTAATCCAACGTGTTAGGAACTTTAGGCTCTAAAAATAAAGTAGGTTGTTGTTCAGGTGTCATTGCTAATTGCCATGTCACTCTGGCCCATCAGCCTTCAAAAACCACTGACTGATTTTGAATAAAATGTCACATACCTGAAAGAATGTCAGAGAAGTTTCTCTATTGTATTTGAGGATCTGTCTGTGATTTTGAATAAAAAAGTGACAAAGCCTGGCTGG